GTTAGAAACATTGATCAGCTGCCTCCTGCACACCCCCTACTGGGGATCTGCCCGCAACCCAGGTACATGCCCTTGATTGGAATCGAACCTGGGATCCTTCAGTCCGCAGGCCGAGGCTCTAGCCACTGAGCCAAACCGGTTTCGGCCAGAAATCAGGATTTTAACAAGATTCCCAGGTGATTCTAATGTGCGGGTGATTGGCAGGTGGTCGAGGGGGAGGAACACACAGTAGGGCGAGCGTGTCAGACTCACGGCGAGCACGGGCCAGCAAACAAGGTTTACGTGGATGTGGCCACAAAACACAAAAGCTTCCATTTTCATAGAAACGTAGGTTTATTTCGACAGAGACATGCTGAATACAAAGGGCTGAGATAGCTGAGTCATCGTTCACATAAAATAATAGGACATTTTAATGAAAATTAATATTTTTTCTTGAACTTACCAGACACTGAATAACTGCACAAATTAATAAGCGTAACGCAAATAAGCCTGTTTTTCTTGTTCCCCGAAAGCGAAATATTTCCTGTTGCGCACACCAAGCAAGTCAGTCCAAGACGGATGACGTGGCCACCGGCTGCTAGAACATTCACTGCTGGAGTTAGTGGAGGGAAATGGTGGGCCTGCGTGTGAGGGAAACGAATGCAACACGATATAGTCATCAGTCGTTAGCGAACGTCGTAGTTTGTTATTAATAATTACATATAACAGGATATTATCAAAATTAAGTTACAAAACTTTTATTAAAATGTTTCTTATGTACCGTTATATTGGCTGGGCTGCAAAAATATTCCCGCGGGCCGTGAGTTTGGCATGCTTGGCGTAGGGAGTTTCTTCCGGAACACCTCCCGTAGGGAGCTCAGAGCCCAGGGGACACACGCATCTCGCTAACAGGCCTGGAGCCCCCGGCCAAGCCTGGGGAAGGGCTCTGAGTGGCGATGTTCACCCTTCAGCTCACGGCGCACGTAAGATAACGGCTAACATTCTGCATTGTTTGCTGATCTGACAAAAAGCAGTTTAATCGTAATAGATTTAATACCAAAAAAAAGTAATTGCCTACGCTTTTTGTTCCAAAGTGACTTTTTAAAAAAATCAGGTGCCGCCCAGCCAGCGTGGCTCAGTGACTGAGCGTTGACCTATGAGCAAGAAGGTCACGGTTCACGTCCTGGTCGGGGCACGTGCCTGGGTTGCAGGCTTGATCCCCAGTAGGGGGCGAGCAGGAGGCAGCCGATCAATGATTCCCTCATCATTGATGTTTCTATCTCTCCCTTTCCCTTCCTCTGTGAAATCAATAAAAAATATATTTAAAAAAAATCACGTGAGGATTTCTGGTACCAAAAATGAGCCAATCAGAGGCAGCCTTGTCATGTGACGGGACCTGTGTGCAGGTCGTCCCCCCAAATCTATACGCACTTGGGCCGCTGACAGCTCAGTGTTGAGGATGGAATGCGTGTTCGTCAACACCGCCTTTACGATTGTTCCGAGTGTGCATACAGTCTGGGGGACGCCCTACGCTTATGGCGCGAGACCGGCCTTCCCACTGGACGGCTGATGGTGAGCTGCTGTCCTTTTTCATTTGACAATCGCAGGGGGAGAGGGCGGTGCCCCCGACGGAATCGTCAGGCCGGGCCTGTGTTCACGTCCTCGGGGCACACCAGGGTGCCGCGGCACACGGGGCTGAAGACCCCTGCCCGGG